CATAACCTTCTGCATCGTACTTATTATTTCCTTCCAAAATTTCTTCTTGTATATAATTCATGAAAGAATCATCTAAATTCTTACACTCCCGTACATTAAGTTGAATATCTACCTCAATATCAGATATAATAAAATATTACTTAAGAAAGTCTTAAAAAATAGTAGATCTATTCGTATATATATAATTTATAGCTACCATAGTAATCCTCGACACGAGAAGACTCATAGTCTACGTTGATACACTTAATATAACTCTTCATCTTGCCAGCAAATAATTTGGAAATAGCGTTATCTGCATTTGACTTCTTTAATTTATTATAATAAAATTTTAAATTAGTTAAGATTAATTTAATTTTAATCATAACATATAATAAATCCTACCTTCATTTTTTCCTCTAAATTATTTTGCAGTACTCTGCTAAACTCGTGGATATCATGTTGCATAAAATAGTTTAATGAATCCCATCCGAAAGATGTAATTAATTCCGTTGTTTCAACTGAAATATCTGAAATTTGCATTTGATAAAAAGTTCTTTGTACTGCTAATGGAACACTTTTAGTTGGATCATCGTTCTCCGTAGGGATTTGATATACTGCCTATAATTATAAAGTTAATTTCATCAGATTCCAAAATATCTTTTTAAGTTTAGCGAATGTACTAACCTTACGAAAAGAGGTTATGCTAAATAATAATTGCAGTGCTGCATTAAGATATCCTGTTGTTCCCTGGTTCTTTAAGATAACATGACCGGTTTCTTTTTTTGAATCATAACTGAATAAATAAGTTTACATTAAATTTAAGTTTAAAATATATAAAGTTAGTAGTAAAAGTAATAGAATACTTTGTGAAATTATGCCATAGAAAGCCAGTTTGATCCTTTATAATACGAATTAAGACAGTAATATTACACCTATTATTTTCGATTAGAGGACGAGTTTTATTTTCCTTTGGGACAAAGAGATCACGTTGTTGACAAAATTGAGGATATCCCCAATTTGTTTCATCAGCAGTAAAACGTTTATATGTATCTATAAACAAAATAAATCTTACACGTTAGTTGTAAGAATTATTAATTATAGAATATAATAGTTTTTACATACGATTAAAATCATATAATGTTGGTTCATTTGGATTCCATAAAACAAGAGCAAACTGTGCACAAGAGTGCCAACCATTAGGAGCTCCATTTGGAACGCAACCCAAATAAATTGATACATAATCATTTTCAGAAGGATAAAGCAAAATGCGCCTATATTTAAGTCCAGAATTAAAAAAAAATAGTGATAATAATGAATTAACTTATAAATGAACCTACCATCTCAAACCTCCAGCAAAAAATTCAGGACTTGTCACATAGTTATCTAAATTTGTCCAATTGGTTATTTCCCACGTGTAATATTGGAAATCTTCAACTTCATAACCAAGTTGTGGCATTGCATAATTTGCAAAGCTCTCATCTTAAAAAAATATAAATATAAATTCAATATATAAAAAATGTTGTGGTTTATAAATCTTAAAAGAAGATTTAAAAATAATAATAACATACAATTTGACACTGCTAAATTAGTCATTTTTAATAATGTATTTTCAAAAAATAAGATCAAGAGATATTAACATGTACTGTATCGGTATGTAGTAATAATTACTGAAGCCTAAAGTAGTAAATGCGTTATATTTATACTATAAGCATTTACTGATCGGAGTATACCTTGATTATTACTCCGATTAGTAAATGCACATGCTGTACAGTTGTTATCGTAGTAAAAACGTAGATCTGTAATACTTCAAAAGAAAAGATGACATTTAACGTTAATTAAGAAACCACCCAATTCGCCTATTAAAAATATATTGTTTTCGTGGTATTTTAATAGTAGACAGTACTAATTTCTTTAACTCTAAACCTAAATATAACATGGTTTCATTAACTAATCATAAAATAAGGTAGCTGTGCAGCATAGTTGCACTAAAAACCAGAAACAGATACCAATAAATTATATTCAAAGTTCTGATTATAAATTACTTTACTTAACTGACTTGATTAATAAATTGTCTTTTTATTCACTCGGTGAATGATGAAATGATTTGAAGAGTAATTAAGATAATGGTAAAAATAAATAATTTGTTTAATTATATTGTTGATAATAATAAATTGTCTTTATGCTGACCATTAATTATTATTGCAATATGAATAAAAAAGATATAAAGAATAAGAGCAAGTAAGTATTTATATTTATGATTTGATGATTTTAATTTATTATCTTTATGCTCATCGACAATTAATCAATGAAAATGATGAGAAAATATTAGGAAATAATAAACATCTATGCTTATGATTTGCTGATTTTAACTTTATGTTCACTCGCGGAATGAAATGACTTGAAGGGTAACATGATTTGCTGATTTTATTCCACCGATAATAAATTATCTGTATACTAATTCGTTGGATAAAATTATACTGATATACTATAATGATAATAAAATTGATTGGCAAAATTAAAGCATATTTGCTAGTGAAAGATTAGTACCGAAATCAGGTAAATTTTTTGAACACTAACTAATGATACCTGACGAAACTATTTTGGGTCTTTGTCTTGAAAATGAGATTCTGAGTCAGCTGGCTAATGCGGCTAAAGCAGACCAACATTAAGAATTAGTTTGGCCGGCATTAAGAATTAATTAATTAGGCCAGGCATTAAGAGTTAGTTTGGCCGGTATTAAGAATTAATTAGACCAGGTATTAAGAGTTGGTTAGGCTGGCATTAAGAATCAGTTAGGCCGGCATTAAAAATTAGTTAGGCTCGGTATTAAGAATTTGTTAGGCTCGGCATTAAGGATTAGTTGGCCCGGTATTAAGAATTAGTTTGGCCTAGTGATGGGAAAAATGCGCATTTTATAATAACCTGCGCATGATACTGCATGATATAAATTCTCTTTTTTCTGTTTCATTTTGAAAAAAAATCAGAATATTTCTCAAATTTCAGTTATAACCTTGCTTATCTTTGAAGTTCATTCATTTTCTTTTCAGAACTTTTGAAATTTCTATCCTTTAATTCTGCCTGGAATTATGCTCTCTGGCCTAAATTATATAACCTAACCAAAACATATATAAATTCTTGATAAGCAAAAATATACATAAAACAGAAAAATACATATTCATATACATGTTTCAGATATTATACATGCACATGATACTTATCTCTAGTTTGGCCTAGTATTAGAAATTAGTTAGGCTAGCTTAAGAATTAGTAGCTAAGTTATTTAGTTGATATTATTATCAGCTAGCTAAGCTAGCTAACTAAAACTACATAGCTTAAATCACTAAATCTTATGAGATATTATTACACAAGTCTAATTATTATCTAATCATAAAAAACTTTACTATCAAATATTACTATCTTATTCTATGATATATAATTTATATATTATATTATTAAAATTAATAAACTAAAAATAGATAACAAAGTCTTGGTTACAAAATCTCAACTTAAAAATATTTTCTCAGCAAAATTAAAGAAACAATTTATAGAACTATAGATAATATATAAAATTATACTATTAGAAGTACAGTCTACACATGATAATCTGAAGCCTTTAGATTTTTTATGTTGCACATAATCAGATTAGAAAAAATTCAGATGATCAAAATTCGAATTTTAGATGATTAACCATAATATATGAATTTCTATTATATGAAAACCAAATTTTCGATCATCCAAAGTTTTATATGAATTTGTATAAAAATTCGGATGATCAAAAATTCGGATGTCCATAATAAATAAATTCTAATACATGACATCTAAATTTTTCGATTATCCGAAGTTTACAAATCTTTAAATAATCGTAATATAAAAATCCTAATACATGGACAACTGAATTTTTTATCATCCGAATTTTTATACAAATTTATATAAAACTTTAGATAATCGAAAATTCAAATGTCTATGATGTAAATTCTTTAATTCTGTAAATAGAATTTTCGATCATCCAAAGTTTTTTATAATCTATATATGGTTATCCGGATTTCGATTTAATCATTAAAATAAAGAAAATATAATGATAAGTGTGGAAAATAGATTTATTGTAGTCTAAATAAACATCCCCAGCTTAGTACAGTATATCATATAATTATTATCTAAATGAAATACTGTAGTTTGAAGGACACAATAATAGCAGGAAAAGTAGCATTGAGAATGATCAAATTATTCAAGTCTTGTTAGCAGTAAGGGCCTAACAAGATGAAAATTTTCAGAGGTTTGAAATCAATGCTTATCTCATAGCAAATATAAACTAATATAAACTATGAGATTGATTATGAGAATACTGTATAGTGTTGGATTGTAAATCAGAGTATTGTTCTCGGTTACGGGTTTCTCATTAAATTATTTCTCTTTTCTTTTCTTTTATTTATTATTTTTTTTACTTATTTATTTATTATTATTATGTCTTTTTATTATTTTGATTGTACCTTATATAGTTATTTATTTATTAGACTATTCATACCTTTATTTATGTTTAAGAACCATGATAATAAGCTATGTAAACATTAGGGTGAGCAGTGGTGCTAGGGCATATATCCAATAAGCCCTAATAGAATAGAATTGTATAATGATGTGAGCAGTGTAGCCTCATGTTACCTTAGGATAGCTTAAACACAAGCGAAGCAACTGCTCATAAAGATATGAGCGAGTTAATCATATAGGGTTTACATAGTATAGCCTTCACAATTCAAATTGTATAAATATAGGTCCTTTTCGCTTTTCCAAAAGGACCAGTTACGAATGAAATTATCTATCAATTAATAAATAAATTGTTATTACTTTATATTAAACCTCTTTAACTTTCTAAATATTAAAACTATCTTAAACCTGTTAAATAAATAATTACCTTCTCAACTATATTTATTGAATAACGACTACAAGTATACGCTGGATCTCTTAATTATCATAAAGGAAGTAAACATTGAGGCCGAATAGACCTTTTTCTGAATAAACTAAGAGCCGTATCCTTAGACAACTTATACAGTAGAGTCCTATTATAAGTAACGATATATAATAGAATATACAGTATGATTTACAATAGGATCATTAATCAGATCAGTTAATTAAATAAATCAGTTTATTAAATAGAATAATTAAGATAAATCACTTTTAAATTATTAGATTAATTGTAGTA